TATCCAAAAGAAATAACAAATCTAAATGAGTTATTAAACCTAGCTCCAACTCTCTTGGCAAGTCCCAACATGTTAAGTGTTCCAATGACATTTGTCTTGATTGTCTGTTTGGTTAAAACAGATGAAGCTTAATTATTGTTGCACCATTAGAGAAGTCACTTTCAGAGAGAGAGAGAGAGAGAAAGGGCACTGACCTTCACAGGATTGTATTTGTAGAAAATTGGAGAAGCAGGACAAGCAAGATGGTATATCCGGTCAACTTCAATTAATAAAGGTTCCGTAACATCTGAGATATTTATTTAAAACAAAAAAAAAAATGGGCAAAATTTAAGATAATTGACCAAACACAGTTTTTCAGAGAAGAAAGTTGTCACGAACAAGAAAAGAACCAGGAATCATTATAGCTAAAACCGTGAATAACAGAGTTCCCTGGAAACCTTTTATTCCAGCCACTAAACAGACAAACATTTTCTTAATAGAAAGGAATTTACAGGGATTGCAACTAAAACAACGGCAACTAAAGAGATGTACCAGAATTCATGAGATTAAATTTCACAAAGCAAATGCAATTGCTAAAAGTTCTATATTGTTTTACTTAGCATTAGGCCAACTCTTCCTAATTTCTCTTGTACATTTGAAGTTTACTTTGTAATTTGTAACATAATAACGTAAACCAAAGTGTATGATAACATTAATTAACAACAAAAAATATCTACCATGCCGAATAAGCTCAAATCGCGGATGACCAATCCATTGGCTAAGGTTGTCTTTAGAGCCAGTGAAGTAATTATCCAAAACAATCACCTAAGAACAGGAAAATTTTAAGTTTACATAATCAAAGAGCAAAACATTATAAACACAAAGTGTATGCAAGCCACTAAGTGCTTACCTCATTTTTCTCATTTTCCATGAGTTTGTCAACTAAGTGGGAGCCTATAAATCCAGCTCCACCAGTGACTAGAATTCTCATGTTTGCCTGCCATAAAGATGTATCTTAGTGTACTATGAAATACGATAATATATCTATATTCAAGGAAAGAAGGTCAAAAAACAAAACAAAACAAAACAAACTTGATCATTAATAGCATAAGGGAACAAGAAACTAAATCTTCGTCCACGAGGCAAAGAACAAAAATAATTTTTAGCTAGGAAAATAGAAACACATTTCAATAAAGTATTCCTATACCTGAAAAAATTTAGCTCTCCTTAGTGGTGAGGGCTCGGGAGGTGGCTTGGTGCTCACAATGTTCGACCCATTTGTTGATTCCTTAGCCATTCTAAAACCCCTTCAAATTTCCAAAATTCAAGAAATCAATTAAATAAAAATAACCATCCAGTTCCAAACAGATCCATATACAAATATCAATGACACCAAAAACTAAAATAGGATTATTCATCAACCCAAATGTTATATTACCCAGTGAGCAATTTTAAGAGAACAGACCATCTATAACATTTCCACTCAAAAACTATTTGTAAGGCAGCTCCAACAAAAACAAATCTTTACAACATAACTATAAAGAAGCAAAGTTACTTACCTTTTCAGGAATCTGAGACAAATGAAAATGAAACAGAAAATTAGGTAAAACTAATTCATTTACAACTTATGTAATTTTCATTAGAGGTTGCATTCAGGCTCAAAAGGATTTCACACACTCGATTGAGAAACTCATCTCTCTCATATGATTTGGTGGGAGATCGAACTCTAATCACTGAATAATGCACACAAAACGCCCAGAAATTTTATATATGTTCTAATGCATGTTTCCGCATTGATCGCAGATTCAAAACCAGAAAAACAAAATAAAATAAAATAATCATACAAATAGATCAATCTAAATAATAAACACAACATCAATCCCAACAGATACTGAGAAAAATCAAGGGGTTGATCACCTCTTACGTAAGAACAAACTTATTATAACACTTGTGCTCAAACAGCAAAAGACTTCACCTTTATATACTGCAGCAAGTCACGGCTTAAAACCCAGATATTTAATATAAAAATAATAATAAAGATCGATAAGCAACACCAAAAAATTAAAGATTGAAAACGGGATTAACAAGAAAAAAGCAAGCTTGCAATTATCATTGCTTTTTACCAAACGTTACCAACTGGAGAGAGAAATACGGAAAGTAGAATCTTGAAATTTAAGGAAGAATGGAAGATTACAGCCAAGCATGTGACTATATATAATGATTAATTATAATTTTTTATTTTCTTTCCTTTTCTTTTATCAGCGTACCTTCGGTGTTACTCCAAACCAAAATCCGGCAGAGTTGGACATGTAAACGGAACTCGATATTATAATGTTTTTGTGTTAAGATTACATTAAAATAATATATTTTGACAAATTTATGAAAACTCGATATAAATAATGTTCTTGTGCTCCAAACTAAGTCTTACCTCCTAAGATCGTTTGACTTTTTTAATATTCATACCGGACGAGACATTGGTACGAGATTCAATCAATTCAACCGATATTATAATATATTTTACTATTTTAATAAATATTAAATTAATTTATTATTATGATATAAATATTGTATAAAACTATCTTTAATAAATATTAAAATGAATCAAAATTCTCATACCAATGTAAACGTACTAAAATTAAGTGTAGAACTTTCAATTTATATAAATAATATTTTTTTAAAAATTTAAAATATATGTATATATGTATATTTTAAATCTAGTATAAACCGGTAGACCAGAATTTTGGTCGGTATTTTCTGGTAAAACCAGTATATTCCAGTATGAAACATGTATATATCAATATTCTGGCCAAAATGATATTTAGAAGGTAATCGTGTCGGTCGAACCACAGGTATCCAGTATTACCGGACGATACAATACGAAATTTAAAACATTGCTTTTGATATATTGACTCTCTTTATTTTATTAAGATGGTTCTCTTTACATATAACTGTACACGATACCCGAGTGATGCACGTGTCTATAAGATAAACAAATAATTTTATTTATTTATCTATTTACTTTACCTATCAATTATTAATGGTTTTTTATCAGTTTGACCTGAAAGATAAATTCATCCAAAAAATATAAACTATCGAGTTAAGGTATTAGCCTATATCAGTTTGAGACTTTACGACTCTCCCTCTCCTTGCCTCATTGCCATTAAAGTCAAATAAGTTTTCTCCTGTGCAACTGCACTCGCATACTAGTTCACCAATTTCTCTGAGAAGTTTTCGAAATCCTTTATCGACCCCGGGGGAAGCTGATGAAACTAATCAAGTGCTCCTCCCCTCAGGGTCGAAAGAAAAGCCTGCAACTTACTGGATTTGAATATCCGTGCAACATCGCCTTGTTTTCAAACGACCTCACATGCCTCGATGGGTCAGTCGACCCGTCATACTTCAATCTGGTTTCCCTGAAATTGACTAGTAATGGTGCCGCTAAAATGTCCTTCGAAAAGGGAAATCCTCGAGCACATCCCATTGGTCTACCATCCACTTTGGCCTGCAATTGATGCAATTGCTCGGCCATCCTTTACAAAGTTCGATCTCTCGGGACTCCTTCTCCTCCGAAACTCGACGCATCCTCCTCCATGTTTTAATGTGCACCTACTACTATAGTCGGCATAGTAGCAGCATGCGATATATGGTGTATGACTTGTTGCATCGTCTGCGCCGCCGCGTTGGCCATCATCCTCTCCATCTACTCCCTGGTCATCGCCACCATCTGTTGACCAGGGCGTTCTTCGCCTGCCCTAGATGGCAGCTGCGCCACCATTCCCATCGGCTGCACTCCAGCTGGATCTGGTTGTGGTTGTGCAGGCACCACCGTCCCTTGCGCTGCTCGAGCCTCTCGCGCCTGGCTCGAGCCTACCTCTACCACATGTGCAACACTCCGCCTTAAATCAGAGTAAATTTTTCGCGCTTATTAATTTGAAACACTGATTTAATTTTTGAAAACTCTAATTAATTTTTTCGAAAGACACTTTATCTTACGAGATGCTACTCATTGCTATCTATATCTCTTTATCTATTTATAAGTATTACGCATGTGACCAATTAAATCCATTACTAAAAATGAGGCGCCAGGAAGAATACTGGATTTAAACATGCATAGTCTAAAAGACTGAAATCTGAAACATAAGTCTGAAATGCAGAAGCAAGTACAAGTTCGAAATCATAAACATACATACTTAATCCAAACACGAACAAATATACCACATGACATGTTTTCTCAAAACATCCTTAAGCTTTGACTACCACCACATATCAGCTCACGCGCCACGCGGGACTCCGTCACCTGAAAATGGTTAGTGGGGGCGTGAGCATAAAAATCCACGTGCTCCACCAAGACCGACATTGAATATACATCTAATGTAATAACATATCATGACATCAGCATATATGCAAGTACCTACTAGGTTTGGCAGAAACGATACGGTGATAATCATTGTACTAACGCATCGCGAACTAAACATACATCTAATACGATAAACACAACACAACCTAAGCAAACATCTAACATTATAAAACATCACCATAGGCATATAAATAAGTAAATTGTCCATAACTGTTGCTCAACTGACTGTCTAGAGCTGCTGCTTAACTGACTGTCTATAACTGCTGCTTAACTTACGAGAAGGACACTTGGCCTTCACGCTTGCGATAACCGAGTGTAGGACATAATTTGTAGGTCATTGCTCATGCTTAGGCAAAACTAACTCTTATGCATTTCTAAAGTTGGAGCTTAACTTAGAGTTGCACTAGAGTTCTTGATTCTAACTGGAGTTTGAAACACTTGGCTATAAAAGAACTGATCTCTAGGTCGATACTCCTTGGGGAAGAAATATTCTAACCTCATCTGGAATTACAACTTAACTCAAGGTTGTACTAAGTTTCTTAATTCACTTAACTCAAAGCTTCACTAGAGTTCTTATCTCATCTTAACTAGGGTTCGGTTCACGTAGCTAGAAAGGACCTAACCGCTAGGTTATTGCGCTTATTCAGACAAACTAACTCTTACAGACATACCTCAGCCAGGATAATGCGATTATAGAAAATGTAGCACCCAGTACAGGGTCCCCAGCTGATATGCTGAAGTGTAAGCGCTGGGAATAGATGTGTAGCAGGTGGAGGCTCGACTCTCCTCAAGCTATAAAATATTTGAGCAAAATATATTCTAAGCTCAAACTGAAAAAATCGAATCTTAATTTATGATCTTTCTAGGTTCGCTCGCTGGTTTTAAAATCAGTTATAACTCAATTTAGAAAAATTATGAGCTAATTTAAAAAATTATTGTCGTGAGGCTTTCTAGAGTTTTCTGAAATATTTCTAAGTCTGGAGCTAATAACTGAGTTGATCTAAATTGACTCAATTCGGGAAAATACTTAAATCTCGGTTCACGCTCGAACCGATGTTCCGAGCTGAAAACTCCCTAATCGTTCAGACTGTCGAACCGATTCGGCTGAACTGAAAACTGTTCAAACCGTCCGGACTGCCTGGACCGGTTCGACTGGACTGGACTGGCGGCTCGCTCAGAATCCGCCAGTCATTCATTGGCTAGGTGCGGCTCTGCTCAACTGTGGTCTGGGTGCGGCGCTGCAACTCACGGGCACGCATGAACACGGCTGACACGGCTTCGCCGACGCACGGGTTTTAAACAGTGCCACAGCCACTGGCGTAGGAGCGCACTTTGACCATGGCTAATGAAAACGACGCGTTGAGTAGAGCGTAACAGTGTGATTCGGTCGGACTCGGTGCACGGGCACGCATTCGGTGGCTCGATTCGGACTCGGTGCATGGGCACGCACTCGGTGGCTCGGCTCCAACGATTGGACGAGATTGGGACACGTGTACGGGACATCGATATGCATTGTGAATGCGTGCTAATGCACGTCAGTTGGTTGGCTATGCTCGCTACGAGGCAGACGACCTCGGTAGCATTCTTAGGCTCGGTTATGGTCTCGCCGGCCGGCCGACCATATCTCCGACAACCCAATGACTCATTAATAATCCTATGACATCTAAAGTCATTTATATGCTACTAAGGTTCGGTGGAATTCACCCGAATCTAAAAATTACTCGGTGATCGGAAACGGGCGAAACTAGGGTTCTAGTTCTCCAAGAAACCAAACTCATTTTTAGCCGAAACTTTAATCCTAAGTTCAACATGATTTATAAGGAATTTAGGTCCAACAACTTCAGTTAACCATCAACTCAACAATTTCTAAAAACACTACAAATCAAGGCTAAAGTCCCAATTTTTAAACTATATCAAACGATCTCCAAGAATCACTAAATTTTAACCACAACATCCTCAACATATATATGATTTTTGGTAAAATGATCTCAACAAGATTCAACCTCTAACTCAATTAACTAAAATCGATCCTTATATATCTAGATCTACAAATTCGGTTCACATAGCAAATGAACTCTAAAATTCACCAAATTTAAACCTCAGCCTCAGGACATAAGATAAGATTTATGGAGTTGGAATCACAATTTTATCACTTATATAACTCGAGATCTAAAAATCATGCCTTTAAGATTATTAAATCTAGATCTATTCATTTATCATTTTTAAAATAATTTATTATTGTTGTCTAAGACAATGGATTCGGGGTTCAATCCATTTTACTCAAAATGAACTCAAACCGAAAAATGAAAGTTGAGAGATGGGTAGTCGAAACTGCTGCTGCTTGGATCTGGCCAAGGGAAGGCGCTGGCGTCGGCTGCGCGCGGGTGTACAGGCTGCGCACGTACGGACGCTGGAGAGCTGGCGAGCGCTGCGGTGGACCTACTGCGGGAGTGTGCGCGCGATTAGGGGACGACACCTGGGGCTGAGTGCGTGAGACTAGGCTGGGACAGGGCGTGCGCGCGGACTGCTGGGCACCTGCAGGGGCCTAGCATGTTGGACGAGGGCTGGCGTGAGTAGGGTGTGCTGGGTCGGCTAGGGCTCGCCGGTGACTGGAGGCTGGCTGGAAAACGAGAAGACTGGCCGGAATCTTGTGGCTATGGAGTATTTGGGCTTACGCTATGAAGAGGATTTTTTGCTAGGAGAAATGAAGAGAAAATGTAATGTAGGCTAATGGATAGTGGTGTATTTATAGTGGGGAGACTATGGTTTTGGTAGGTAGGAGCATTTAATGCTCATTTATCTTGTACATGAATTTGAATTGAGTGGACTAGTCAACATTAGTAAAATGAAGACTTAGGAATTATTTATGACTTGGGACCATTGATATAAATTGAATTGGACTATATATAATATCATGAAATGAAATGGATTTTTACTTGGTCAACATTAATAAAATAATGTTTGAATTTAGGCTTAAATAATAAAATGCTACTTGGGCCAAATAGATGAAAATGATGGGCTCGATTCTTTTGATCGGGCTGGGTTCGGGTGTTGGGCCGAAATAAATGATTTGGCCGGATACTAATTGGGCTTGCACAAAAATGATTGGGCCGAGGTTAGGCTCGTCCGGGCTTCGGCCCGACTTAAATAAAATTTTAACTTTACCAAAGCTCAGTTTTATCTTAAAAATAAAACCAATACTTGAGCTAAATAAATTTCATTTTTAAAATTAAAAATCGAATAAATTCTCTATGGCTTAGACTAAAATTTAATACTCAATTTAGATCAAAAAATTATTAAACAAATGCACCAAATAAGGAAACTTGCTATTTATGAAAATAACGTCGAGCTCCATAAATACTAAAAATAGTCGGGACGTTACAACAGGAAGTACCGATGAACTCCCAAAACCTTGAGGAGCAGGCGTTGGGGTCATTGGGATTTGAGAAGGTCCAGAGAAGCCCGGAAGAGGGCCAACTCGAACAGTCGCGTCATCGTCCACGCGTCGCCGAATGACGGCTGCAAATTTTTCCTAGGAACCTTGTCCGCCATGGATGAACAGTGGCTAGACTGATATGACAACCGGTATGATATTTAAAATACTGGTTCATTCAGCATCACAAAAAATATCTCACATTTAATAAAAATAGTTAAACTCAAATTCTTGTATGAGGTAGCACCATTAAACGGGTTGACCCGTCATACTATTTAATAAAAATTATATAATTATAGTCTTCTACTATCAAATGGCATATAAACATTTTTTATATATAAATTTTCTATTGACACTATGAATATATATTTATATAAAAAAAAGTATATATATGGCATGTAAAGACCTTCGACCGGCTTGGTTCGAGCTGATCGGCCTCCTCGCCGGATGTTGGCCTTCAATACCTGCACAAACACAATGTCGAAGGAGTTTCCGGCATAGATCCCACATGCCTAAGTCAGAACGTGAACAGTGAAGACAATGAAAGTAACATTGTATGTGGACTCAGTGAGTATAGAGAGTGTAATGTTGTAGTGGGCATACCCCACTCCCTTATATATATAGGGGGGTGTTACTTTGTTGCCTTAAACTGCCCAAGCGAGATGCCCGAACTGCCCGAATCGTCCGAACTGTCCAATTCTGTTAGTCCACGTGGCCATATCCACGTGTGGTCCTTATCTTGATAATATTCTTTCTTATCATTAGTTTGTCTGCCTTATTAGACGGTTTAATTAGGCGACTGCTTCAAATCACCTCGAGGTAGAGTGCTGCGTATACTGAGCTCGTGAGTTCTGTCCATTTGGTCAATTTGTCAACCAGTTACGCCTTCAAGTCGAGTTTCAATCAGACCATCCGAGGGTCCTATCTCGATCTGTCGGTGTTATTTTGGACTTGCAACATCCTCCTCGACCTGTAAACTCCTTGATCTTTATCCATGTTCGGCCTCAGTTCGGTTTGCTTGTGCTTCTGCTCGACCAACCGTTTCGCTCATCCTGACCGACTGGTTTATTGAGTTTATTCTACCGGTGTAGTACCCCATATCAAGTTAATAGTTATATCCTAGAATATTTTATGAAATTTCCTTAAATGGCACACAAGTTTATAAAAAAAACTAGTGCGTGGCTCGTGCGATGCACGGGAAAATAATATTACGATTATATTATAAATTAAATATATAATATCATTCCTCCGTGAACCAGCAGGCCGGCGAGTTCTCCTCGCGAAGCTCTTCCGGCGAGCCGCTCCTCCGCGAGTCCCTTTGTCTGCGCGCTCACTTCCGTCGAACAGCAGACCCTCGACGACCATTCCTCCACCGCATGCAGTGCCTCTGCCCGATTTCCGACGACCCTCTGTTGCCCTCCTCCACGAATCAGCGAGTCCCTCTGCCGGCGAGCAGCAACTCAGCGACGAGCAGCCCTTCCCTCGCGAGACGACGCATGCCGTCGAGCATTAGCCTCGTGTTCGCCTCTTCGTGTTCGTTTCATTTTCCGATTTTTTCCCGAGAACGGTACCTCGTCGATTCCGTCTCGTTTAACTCGTATATGATTTATTTCGTTATGTGTTTTTAAATTAATCCAGGTTGGACACAGTCCGACCGGATGGACCGAGAACCGGGTTATAAACAGTGTAGTTCGCTTGAATAAAATATTTACTATTGAATCCGTCAACATCAGTCGGTTGGACTGGTAGGATCGTTATGATTTTTTAAATAAATTTTGTTACATTTGAAATTATTTAAATAAAATTACATATTTAAATAAAATAGAGATTTTTATAAATTGTTTATCAATTAGTTTTAACATTTGAATTTATAAATTGTTTAGATATTTAAGTAACACATTTTATTAAAATTTATTACAAAAAGTACTCCAGATATATATATATATATATTAAAATGTATATATATTAATATTAAAATATTTATAAATTAAAATCTGAACAAACTACAAATGATTTAATAAAATAACTTGATTGTTTCAATGGTTCGATTTTGAAAACCATATTCATTGTACATTAATAAAAAAATATAATAAAATATTATTTTATTCACATAAATATTAATAAAATGATATATAAATATTCATTAATCATTAAACATGTTGTCATATAAACGTATTGTTAATATGATTATTTGAAGTTTGAGGAATATTAAAAATTGAAATGAATTAATAAATAAATATTGTTGTCATATTCACATGGTAATTCTTATTAAAACTTGAAATATATTAACAG